GGTGAAATATTCTGTGCATTACAGTTAGATCTATATGATATAAGATGCCATTTAATTCGGATGTCTCTCTGTTTATTCTTTGTCTGTTTGACCTGTCTGTTGGAGATAGTGGGGTACTGAATTCACCTACTGTGTTTTATAGTTTTGTAGTACTGTTTTTATGAGATTGGCTACACCAATATATGGTTACAATTGTAATATCTTCTTGGTCAATTGTTCCTTTGATCAGGTTAAGTGACCCTCTTTATATCTTCTGATTAGTTTTAGTTTGAAGTCTGTTTTCTTAGATATTAGAATTACAACACCTACTTGCTTCTTAGTGCCATTTTCTTGGAATATTTTTTCCATCCATTCATGTTAAGGTAGTGCCTATCCTTGAAGGTGAGATTGGTTTCTTGTAGGCAACAAAAAGAAGGATTTTGTTTATTAATCCATTCCGCTAATCTCTGACTTTTGACTGAGGAATTGAAGCCATTAATATTTAGAGTTATTATTGAAGGATGTGTATTGGTTACTGTCATTTCAATTTCTATGTGTTCCTGATCCTACTTTGTCTTTTTGTAATTATACCTTCCTTTGTTTCCTTTCTGTAACCTCTTGGTTATAGTTATTCCTATCTTTCGTTCTTTGTGTTGCTTCAAATAGTCTCTGTAGGGCTGGTTTGGTGGACGTGAGTTATTTCAGCCTATTCATGCCTTAAAATTTTTTCCATTCCCATTCACTTGCCAAGTTCTGAATTATTTTTGTTATTTCATTCAGCCGTGTATTTGTATTTTTTGAACTTCTGTAACAAGTTTATACCTATCCTATTTGAGTTCTTTGGGTTGTTTGTGTGTCCTTTCTTTAAGTCTGTAGATCATGTTTATGCTTGTTCTTTTAAATTCTGTATAGTGGGGGATCCTTAGGGAGATTCTCATTGTAGTACAAATATGCAGAACTGGTGGGTTTTGTTGGGGATATATTCTCTTGGTTTTTCATATTATTTGTGGTTCTTCATTGTCATTTGGGTGTATGTGTGTCTTTTTGGTATTATGCCAGAACAAAAATTTCTACTCTGTTTCTGTTTAATTGAATTTTTGTTCTGATTATATTGTTGATGGAGTTTGGCTGGTTTTTGCTCTGGTATGAAAGTTTCATTGGTGTGTGCTTCAGGTTCTTGCAGGGTATCAGGTTGGTCAGGTAGTAGGCAGGTCTATGGTAGGCAGATTAGGAGAGAGACCAAGGGCTTGATGGGGATGACAGCCTGTGTAAGATCTAACAAAGTAGCCTGGAGAATTGACCTAGTCTGGGTGCATGGGATCAGGAAGAGCAGGAGCAGGCTTAGGCCCAAGGTTAGAAGGGGGACTCTGTGTGTGTGTGTGTGTGTGTGTGTGTGTGTGTGTGTGTGTTAGGGGAGATTAGAGGAGCTCAGGCTATAGGGGAATCAAAATTCACTGGTTAGGACTGACTGACCAGGGCATTAGGCAAGTCAGTCTGTGTAACACAGATCAGAAGGCCAGGGGAAGATGAGGGTGGGAACAGCCTGTGGAGAGTCTGACAAGATGTGCTACAGAATTACACTAGTCTGGGTTAGGAACCTAGTACAGAGATCTGAGGCCAAGTTCTGTATGTTTAATTGTGTTTTTAGGATATGCTTGTCCTTAAATGTTCAACAAAAGGATAAAAGCATCCAAACAAAGGACTCAATGTTGAAATATTCAAGGTACATGAAATTAATGTGAGTCAAAAAACATAGAACGAAAGTGGCACCCATGTGTCAATGTTGAAATATTCAAGGTACATGAAATTAATGTGAGTCAAAAAACATAGAACGAAAGTGGCACCCATGTGGCCTCTCCAGGTAAGGTATCATAGAAAACTCTTTGTCATCATTCAATTTTGTCCTTAATGGTTTGTACTGTTGTGTAATCATTTGAGATGGAAACAATTTGACTAATATGGAGCTTTGGATATTGAAGCCCCAAGGGCTATAATGCCTGCAGTCAGACACCAAGCATCAGCCTAATCAAGGCCAGTGTGTAGCATCCCAGTCCCCAGTCTCAACAATCAGTGTTTTGCACAAAAACAACTATCTCATTGTACTTTATTTTAACAGAGATTCTATTTTTTTCTTCACATACACAGAAGAACTGAATATCATTCTTCATGGTTTATGCTCAGGAAAACTGGATTTTCCTAGGTAATATTTTGCCAATGTTTTGTCTTTGTCTCCCAGTCTACTTCATGCAACTTGAGGTGAAGATGTGAATAGAATAATCAGAACCAGATCACATCTGATTGTTAATGTAACTGTTTACATCTAATTTTACATCAGTGTATTATCAACTTGCATTCTAATATCTAACGCTGACTCTAACATCCAGAAACGTCTTCCAGCCCCATTGCTAGTCTCTTCTTCGTGAATTTTGAGAGAGAGTTTAGATGTCTCTAAATTTGGATTTAATTCATTTGACAAGGAAAATTTTATAAAATTATAGAGCTAAATTTTTTTTTCACATTGTCCCTCAATTCTTACAACATTCTTTAAAAGAGTAGAATTTTGACTGACTCTGTTACCTATTGCTGAATAGCTTGACACAGCAGGTAGAGAACAAGGAAGATTTTTAGAGTGTGCATATCTGAAATTCTGAAATCATCTATGAAATGTTTTTGGAAAAAAATAAAACAGGACATATACCAGAAGAAATAAACTAACAGAAGAAATAAACACGCATGTTTGATTCCAAAATTCACTAGTACAAATATTTTTTGAATCAGTTTCCTGATATGTCATCCAAGGAAACATCAAACTCATGGTCATTTTTCTGTTTCAGTTCCTAAAGTGCATAGACTATGTGATTAGATATGCCCATTCACAAATGGTTTCAGAGTTCCTTTTACAAAATGAAAGAGTGCTATATCTTTATAAGATCCTTTGTATGTTCCCCATCACTCTCATTGCTGTTATAAGTGAATATATACTCTTTAATTTTCTTCAGATTCTTACTTGAGTTAATTTAATCATTGTTTTTTTAAGTGTGTATGCTCATGTGTTTATAAATATTCATGTGTGTATACATTTCCTAACAGCACAGAAATGCCTTTCCATTTGAGGAATGATGCATTTATTATGAAGTAATAGGATATCAGAATCAAACAACAAAATTAAGTTGGATAACTAGAGAAAAATATGAGATATATGAAGTTTATTTATATTACTTTTAAATGCTAATAAAATATATCTAACATGTAAATAAGAAAGTGAATACCATAAAGAATATTCACAATATTTTAATGGCATAGAAGAGTAATGAACATTAACTTCAATTAATATTATTGTCTTTGGAAAGAAATATCTTGCTGTTAAAACTAACAATTGCAAGTATATAATCTATCTGGATGTTTACCTATGTATACATCTATCTATTTGTCTATAACTCATCACCTATCTTTCATCTACCTATTATCTATCTACCCACCTATTATTTAATATTATATAATGCAAATCTGTCTAAATATTTAACATGATGTTTATTAGCATATAATCAGGTAAGTTTCGTATTTGATGTACATTTTGTATAGCTTATATATTTCATAAGTAATTGAAGTATTTATACCTGTGTTATTTTGAATACTCAATATTAACTTTAAATTAAATTTTTTTTTATTTTATGTGCATGAGTGACTTGCTTTCATGATTGTAAGAGCATCTGCGTGTGCCTGTGGAGGCCAGAAGTGGTCACTGGATCCCCTGGAACAATTGGCTATTAGCTGCTATTAGGAGCTGGGAACCAAACCTGGGTCCTCTTCAAGAGTAGCCAGTACCCTTAACCACTGAACCATCTCTCCAACCCTGAAGCCTTAATTTTCTTATCATGACCTAAGTTCATTAGGAAAATTGATTTTCTTTTTTAGCTTTTATATTGCTTCTCTTAAAGAATCTCATTCGTATTGTTTTATTTCAAACTCTAAAATTTTTATTACATGTACCTGAGGAATAAGCATACTGGTATTCATACTCACTGGTATTCATTTAGAGTCTTTCTTTCTTCCTCTTCAAGATGTCAGTAGGAATTTCAGTTCACAATTGTTTCCTGATACTTAAAAATGTAAACTAAGATTGTTCATCTGGCTTTCCTTCATTTCCCCTCACTGTGTCCAACCCAGTGGTCCAGTCTATTATCAACACCGCCAAGAAATCTGGCCATTTCCATGAAAGAAACAAATCACAACAAAAATTTAAGTATCTTGCCTGTTGAGTACTGTCCTTAAAATTTTTACTTAATTCTTGGGGCTGGAGAGATCTCTCAGTGGTTAAGAACACTGGCTGTTCTTGCAGAAGACCCAGGTTTGAATTCCAGCACCCACATAGTAGCTAACAACTGTCCGTAACTCCAGTCCCAGGGTATCTGACAGCCTCTTCTGACCTCCCCGGGCATTGCACAACACAGGTGCACTTACCTATATGCAGACAATACACGCATACACATAAAATAAAAATAATAAATTTCTTTAAATTTACTTAATTCTTATGCTCCAATACTGATATAATATTTTATCCTGGTTCTTCATTACCTGAATGAAGAACTAGAGAGTGATCATATGTATTAATAAGTTTCTTTGTTTACAAATAATTACTGAAGCCAAAATTAAACTCATTTTTAAATGGAATTTCAACCAATGCTGATATTGATTTAGAGTTAATATTTTTTGTATCTATTTTTATTGTATTGTTGTTTGAAGGATTTAGAGAATTGTGAAGAAAGTCATATATTACTTCTATGTTTTACTTCTTTTGCATGGTATAATGTGGGAATGTGGATGGCATTCTGTAATTATCTTGGGCAGTAAATATTGTTGATAGGTGAAGGATAGAAAAATTATTGAAGAGGGAGTGAGGGAAGAAATCAAATTAAAATATTAGTGCTATTTATTTTATCTTATAATTCAGAATTTTTCACACAAAAAGGACCCTTGTACATCTATAATTTGTGTCAACACATTTTTGTTTCAACATTGTTTTTTGTATCATTAGCATTCTTTGAAACATGAAAAAAGACAACCAAACAATTGTAGACGTATTCCTCCTCCTGGGTCTGTCAGAAGACCCAAAGTTGCAGCCCATGATTTTTGGACTGTTCCTGTTCATGTATCTTGTCACAGTGCTTGGGAACCTGCTCATCATCCTTGCTATCAACACCGACTCCAAACTCCACAGTCCCATGTACTTCTTTCTGTGTAATTTATCTTCCACTGACATTTGTCTCATCTCCACCACGGTCCCTAAGATGCTGGTGAATATCTTGAAGCATAGCAGCACTATCAGTTATGTGGGCTGCCTCACCCAGATCTGCTTTGTTGTGATGTTTTCTGGATTTGAAAACTTCCTTCTTGCAGTGATGGCTTATGACCGTTACATGGCCATTTGCTATCCTCTTCACTACACAGGCATCCTCAATACTCACGTCTGTGTTCAGCTAATTCTGTTCTCTTTGGCCATTAGTATTACAGATGCCCTACTTCAGAGTCTGTCATTGCTACAGTTGTCCTTCTGCACAAACATGGAAATTCATCATTTCTTTTGTGAACTTGTTCAGGTCCTCAAACTTGCTTGCTCTGACACATTCATCAATAACATACTGGCCTATGTAGTGACTACCATATTGGGTGGTATTCCTCTTTTGGGGATTATTTTATCATACATTAAAATTGTCTCCTCCATTTTTAGAATGTCATCAGCTGGAGGAAAATACAAAGCTTTTTCTACTTGTGGATCTCATCTCTCAGTTGTTCTCCTGTTCTATGGGACAGGTTTTGGGGTGTATATTAGCTCTTCAGTTAGTGACTTACCAAAGAATTCTGCAATAGCCTCAGTAATGTATGCTGTTGTCCCTTCAATGATGAACCCTTTTATCTACAGCCTGAAGAACAAGGATATGAAGGAGGCCTTGAAGAAGTTCATGAGACGATCTCCTGTTTTATGATTGTGTAATATGCTTTGAATTTTGAATTCTATAATGTTCATGTATAGAAATGCCAGGTAAAACTAAATCATGTATTCTTCCAGAGATGCTTTTTGTTTCTAAAATGGTTTAGTACAGCAATAACTAAACCTGATGTAGAATTGCTTTCCAATATGGTGAATATTGTTATGGGAATTTTAATGGGGAATAAATTAAATCTGCTGAGTGTTTTAGGTAATAAAATCATGTTATAATATTAATTCTGCTAATCATAGAATGTAATATGACATATAGTTTTCATATCTATAAATATTTCTTCTATGTTTTAAAAAGAGTTCATTGCGGAACACTTTTACTTCTTTGATTAGTTTTATTCCTAGGCAGTTTTAAGCAATTATCAATGAGACTGTTTCATGATTTTTTCTTTTTCAACTCACTTATAATCAATTCTAGAAAAGTTCTCAATGTATGTGTACTGAAATATACCCTGAGAAATTGCTGAAAATATTTATCAGGCTAATGGTTTCCCATGATATTTAAGGACATTTGAATTATAAGATATATTATATGCACATGGGGACTGTGTTACTTCCCTTTCCCCTTTATAAATCTTTATTTTCTTGTCTTCTTATTCTGGTTATGAACTAAAATAGTAAATATGATTGGAGAAATTAGAGATATGTGTTTATCTGTTGATCTTAGAAGAAGTAATTTTCAGTTTTCCTCCATTTATATAATGCTGCATACAGGTTTGACACATATCGAATTTCTTGAAATGTAATCCTGGCATTCCTAGCTGTTTAGGATTTATCCTAAAGGGGTATTGAATTCCTTCATATTCTCTGAGACAATCATGTGATATTTATTCTCAATTTTGTTTATATGCTTTATTTCATTTACCTTTTGTGCATATTTGAACCATTATGTTATGCTTGGAATAAATCCAAATTGATCTCTCGATATCCTTTCTCTAATGTGCTTTTGAATTTTGTTTTCAATAATATTATTTGCTTTGTAGGCAGGCAATTCTTTATAGCTACTTCAATAATTATTTTCTAGTTATCAATTCAGAGTTAATCCCCATAGGATCAATTTTGATATACCATATATGTGTATAAATTTATTAATTTCTTATGCAACTTTCATTTTTAGACTGTAAGTTTTCCAAACATAATCACCTGGCTTTCAGTGGTATGTGCTATAGTATCCCACTTTTCATCTTTAGATGTATTACTTTAAGTTCTCTTTCTCTCTCACCCTTGCTCTCTCTCTGGTTAGTTTGTTTTTTTATGTTTTATTTATGTATCTAAAGAATCAAGTCATTGTTTGATTCTTTATAATAGCATTTTAAAGTCTATTTCATTAATTTCTACATGATTTTTATTATTTCTTAATGTTTAGTAATCTCGGTGTGTGTTGTTTCTGAATTTTTTATTTATCTTTGGGAAGTTTCATACATGTACACAGTATGTATTGATCATACCCACCCCATTAGGTGGATATGATCAATCCACCCTTCATATATATATATATATGAAATATATAATGTGTAAAGACCTATGGAGACAAATTTCTGTCCCAAATGCCCTTTTGAGGAATTTTATCCACTGGGACCTGGTCAACCTACCCAGTGTCTTACCCTCAAATGAGACTGACTCTAACCCTCCTAGCAGCCGTTTGTTGGCAATACTTCCTCAGGGAGTTTTGAAGTTTCTTAACCACATTCCTATGTCAATGATAGGATTTTGTTTAACTTGAGACACACATATGACCATCGTACAGAAAAGAAGAGGCTACAGACTGCTTATCCTTGAATCACCTGTACCAAACATGTTTCCCAAGGCTCTGGGATCATGGCAGAAGAGGGGACCGATAGATTACAAGAGCCAGATGTAGTAGACAACCACAGGGAAGCAGAGTTTTTCAGACAGCAGGTCAGTTACTCATATGAACTCACAGCACTGGTATCAGCACTAATTTTAATCAACTGAGTCCAATTAATGCTGCACGTATGTGCATGGGAATGGGTAATCCATTGGAACATAGGTGTTAGAAACAGGGCTGAGGTCTTAAGAAAATGACAAAACAATCCAAAGTTTTAGTCAAGGTAAAAGTTTTACTTCTTTATTAGGGTACATAGCTGTGCCAAATCATTCAGGAACCCACACCCAGTGGATATACTGCTGGGTTTTCATTCATAAATCAAAGAGGTCTTGTGCTTCACACAGAAAAGACAGAGCTCTGCCTCATATTCTTATACCACTGGATAAATTAATGCAGTTCATAATGCAATTTTTGGCACCAGTGTATCTTTGAGCATATACTTGGTCTCAGGAAGTGGGATCACACCCCTGCACACAGACCAGCTACCTGCTTCTGCTCCATTTCTCACACCTACACTGATTAGTTAGACCTTCCCCACACCCTCCCCTTGGGTCTAGGCTCATTCCTGTTCATACATCCTGAGACCTCTGGGTTAGTCTGGTAAATCAAAATCTGTTCACTGTGACTTGATTCCCCTGCACCCTGACCAGCTACATTCTCCTGCTCCAGGGCTCACATTTATTTCTGCTTAGCTATTTAAATATTCCCCACTCCATCGCTAGGTCCTCCTTATCCCTAGAGCCCCTCGTGATTATCCAAACAGAGACTTACAGGCTAGTTTGCCAGAACCCAAGCCACTGGATCCCCATATCCTTGAATTGAGCCTTGGCCCCTTTGCCCTGCTGGTGAGCTTATGGATAGTCAGCTCTAGAACCATCCAATTCCACAAATGAAAAATCAAAAGAAACTGAAATAATGACAAAGTAACTATTCAAATCTGAACACAAAGCAACCAAGCAACACCAACAATATAAACAGAATTAAACTTCAACTAAACAAAGGCAGGCTAGAATTTCATATCAGGAACAAAACCAACAAAAGAAATTCATATGCCCAGACCACAATGCAAAAACACAAATAATATGAAAAATCAACATAATATGTCCACACCAAAACCTATAAAAACAGTACTACAGAACTTTAAAACACAGAATAACCCCAACTCAATAAAGTTGGTGATTTTAATACTCCACTATCTCAGATAGGTAAGCTGGACAAATAATAAACAGAGACTACTGAATTAAATGGCATCATTTGTCAACTGAAAGTTCCACCCAAGCCCTAAAGAATACACTTTCTACTCAGCACCCCAAAGAACTTTCTATAAAATTGACCACATACTGGGACACAAAAAATCCTCAACAAATACAAAAAGTTGAAATAATTCCATGTATTGTATCAGACCACAGGCAATAAAGCTTAAAATCAACACCAAAAGAAGCTCTAGTAAATACATGAACTCATGGAGATTAAAACACACACTCCTGAATGATGAAAGTGTCAAAGAAGAAATTAGTGTTAGGGAACTCAGTGAAAAGGATAATACAACACAACAAACCTTAGAGAAGCTACTGATTTTTTATGTTGATTTCGATCATGCTACTTTGCTGAAAGTATTGATAATTTCAAAAAATATTCTAACTTAGTTTAGGTGGCACATATCTTCAATTCTAGCATTCAGAAGGCAGAGGCAGGCAGATTTCTTTGAGAATTAGACCATCCTGGTCTCTATAGTCAGTTCCAGGATGTGTGGGGCTACAGGGAGATATTTTGTCAAAAATTAAAAGACAAAAAAACAGACAAACAAATAACAAACAAGCAAAAATAGAAATATTTTAGTTAAAGTTTGGGGGTCTTATGGATAATATCCTGTCATCCTCAAATAGGAAAAAATTCACTTCTATTCATATAAGTATCCTTTTAATTTCCTTCTCTACTCTTATTTCTCTAACTAGGGCTTCAAATGCCACGTGGAAATGGACTGCAGGTAGTGGACAGTCTTACTTTAGTGGGTTCGCTTTGAGTTCTCCATTTAGAATGATGTTGCCTGGAGGTTTAGCATATATAGCCTTCATTATGATTATGATGAGATATTTTCCCTCCAGTCTTTTATCCAGGACTTTTATTATGAAGGCATGATGAATTTTGTCAAAGGCCTTTTCTGTATCAATTGTGGTGATCAGTGATTTTTGTCTTTCACTTCATTTATTTGATTTCTTAAATTAATCAACTTATGTAAGTGGAACTATCTTTGCATCTTTGCAATGAAGCCAACTTTATCATGGTGGATCATCATTTTTATAAATACCTCTATGAAGTCTGCAAGTATTTTATTGAGAATTTTTTGCGTCTATATTCATCAGAGATATTGGTCAATAGTTCTCTTTCTTTATTCTCTTTACCTTATTTAATATTAGGATTATTACTGCATCACCAAAAGAGTTTAGAAGTGTTTCTTCTGTTTCTATTTTTTGAATATTTTGCTTATGGTCTGATAGAATTCTCCTTTAATCCATCTGAACATGGAGTATTATTAATCAGAATAATTTTATAATTTTTTCAATCTCCTTATTTGTTCTGGGACAGTTTAAGTTGTTGATGAATTCTTGATTGAACTTTGATGGTTCAAATGAATATAGAAATTAATCTATTTATTAGATTTCCTAACTTAATGGAGTACAAGTCTGTAAAGTATTCCCATATATTATTGTTTATTTCTTTGGTGTCTGTTGCAGTGTTTCCCTGTTCATCTCTGTGTTGTTTGGGTTTCATCTTTCTTTTGGTTAAAGTGGCTATGGGTCTGTTAATCAACACTATTTTTTTCAGAGAAAAAGCTCTTACATTCTTTTTTTTTCCAATTTATTTACTGG